CCCTAAACTGCTGAACCCCTGAACCCCTAAACCCCTAAAACCCTAAACCCCTAAACCCTAAACCCCTACACCCCTGGACCCCTAAACCCTAAACCCCTAAACCGCTGAACCCCTGAACCCCTAAACCCTAAACCCTAAACCCAGGAGAAGGTGGCTCGGAGGCTTCGGAAGGCCGAGCTAACGAGGCCGCGGCCGACGAGGAGGCGGCGGAGAAGACGCCCGAGGAAGAGGTGGGTTTAGGGTTTAGGGTTTAGGGTTTAGGGTTTAGGGTTTAGGGTTTAGTGTTTGGGGGTTTAGGGTTTAGGGGTTTAGGGCTTTAGGGGTTTAGGGCTTTCTGGTTTAGGGTTGGGGAGGGTTCATAGGGTTTTATTTATAGAGTTTACAGGGTTCTGGGGTTAAGGTTTCTAGGGGGGGATCTAAGGTGCTTTGGGGTTGGGGGTTAAAGCTTTATAGGGTTGGGGGTTTAAGGTCTACAGGGCTTATCGGGTTTATAGAACTTATGAGGTTTTTGGGTTTATGGGATTAATAGGGTGTATTGGGTCTTCAGGGTTTATTGGCCCTTCATGGTATCCCTCATAAAAAACCCTAAACCCTATACCTCAAAGCAACAACATCCCAAACCCTTAAGCCTGCCTAGCTTCAAAAACCTTAAGCCCTAAACCCCTAACCCCTAAACCCTAAAGGTTTCTTCATTTTGGGAGCCCCCCGGTCAGGTTGAGGAGATCGTGGCCGCCACCGCAGGTGCTCCCGAGGAGGAGGAGGCGACGGCCATTAACCTGCCTTCGCACATCCAGGAGGAGAGGGTCGTAGGGTCTGTCAGGGCTCTCTTGGGGCTTCATGGTGTACCCTAAACCCTAAACCCTAAAACCCCTAGCCCCCTAAACCCCAAACCCTAAACACTACAGTTTTTTTTTGGGGGGAGTAGGGTTTTAATGTTCGATATAGGGGTCTTGGAGGAGATCCTGGGCTACACCATGCGCTTCACGGGGCACGTGCATCAGACGGTGGTCCAGGTCTATGGCAATGTGAACATCCGGATACCCTCCGTGGACTTGGAGGACGTAGATGCCGTAAGACACGATCCAAGCGTCATCTCCATCCTGGAGCAGGCAGTGACGGAATGGAGCAACATCATCGAGAAGGTGCTCTACGAAGAGTCCAAGAGGGAACCCGACAGCGAGTTTCCCATGGCTGAGATCGACTTCTGGCGTGATCGATCGTCAAAGGTCTCCACCGTCTACGAGCAGCTGCAGCTACCAGGCGTCAAGAAGGTGCTCGAGGTCCTGGAGTCATCGGAGCCACCGGTGCTGCAGCAGTTTCAGGACCAGTTCGGATCGCTCCAGCAGATGCACATTGTGGCCAAGGATAACGTCAAGTTCTTGACGACTCTTGAACGACATTTCAAAAGCCTGGCAACGGGATCCATGCAGACCATCGTCGAGACTTTGCCCTCGCTGATGAATGCAATCCGGATGGTGTGGATTATCTCCAGGTATTTCAACTCGGACAAGTACATGGAGCCGCTGATGAAGCGAATCGCCGACCAGATTGCCGAAAAGGTACAAGAGCAGATCAACATCAACCAGATCCTGTCACTAGATCCACCTAAGGCCATGCAGATCATCCAGGACGGAAAGAGGGCCTTGGATTCATGGACTCAGATTTACCTCGACACGCGAGACAAGATGGAGGAGAGTGCAACGACCCAGCGTTGGGACTTTGACCGTGCCCTGCTTTTCAAGAAGACGGGTTACATGTCGAAGGTTTGTGAGGGCCTCTACGGGATCATGCAGGTCCTCGACCAGTTCTACAAGTTCTTAGGCCCCGAGCTGAAAGAGGTCACTGGAGACTCGCAGGGTATCGACCAGCTGCTGCGCGAAGTGGAGGCGTTGAAGACGGATTTCCGCAATGTGAAAAATGTCTTCGACGACTTCAGCCAGCCGCACTGGGAAAGCTCGCTTAGCAGGTTTCATGAGAAGGTGGTCGTCATCGAGGAAAGGGCCATCAAGTTCCTGAACCGAAGCTTCCAAAACCTGCGCAGCGCAGAGGGCGCGTTCAAGCTGCTTCAGAACTTCAAGAACATCGAGTCCCGTGAGCGGATCAACAAGAAGATGAACGAGAAGTTCGTGGCGATCTTGCTGCGCTACGGCGTTGAAGTTGCGAAGCTCAAGGCGATCTTCCAGCGGGACAAGGAAAACCCGCCGATCTCCAAAAGCACGCCACCCACTGCAGGTGCCATTCTCTGGGCCCGAAGCATCTTCCACCGCGCGAAGCGACCCATCCTCTCCTTCAAGACCATGCCACACTTGTTGCAGCTACCGGAGGGCCAAAATGCATGCAAGGATTACGTGGAGCTCGGCAAGGAGATCTTGGAATACGAACAGGCGCTTTTCGAGGCATGGCAGACGACAGCGGTAGAGCTGGCTGTGTCATGCTTGAAGTACAACGTGCTAATCAAGGACCAGCGAACAGGAGCATACAAGGTGAACTTTGCCAAGGAGCTTCAGCTATTGATTCGTGAGGCCAAGTACCTGGACCAGCTGGGTGGCTTCGAGCTACCCCACACGGTCCTTAACGTCGCCCTGCAGCAGGATCAGTACAAGGAGTTCGTGGAGCAACTAGACCTCCTGATCGATGCCTACAATGCAGCCGTTGGCGACCTCTCGCCAGTGCAGCAGAAGCTGCTGAGGAAGCAGATCCTGGACCTGGACAAGTGCTTGAGTCCGGGTCTCTCGCCCCTGAATTGGAGCCTAGCCCGCACTTGAAGACAGAGTTTCCTTGAAGTCATGCCGAAGGAGAAGGAAAACGCAAGCGTTCCACCGTCTCTGAGCAACCACCTCCTAGAACCTAAGCCCTAAACCCTAAACCCCAAACCTAAACCCTAAACCCTAAACCGCAGCCTAGGAACTCTTTGGGCATCAAGGACTTCATCGAGGCCGGCAACCAAGGCATTACGAAGTTCCGCGGTGCCTTCCGCGATCAGGCGGGGGGTTTTGGGCTTCTGGTGTTTAAGGGCTTCGGGTCCTTTATAGGTAGTTCTCGCCAGAGAACTACCCTTATCTGGATCCTAAACACGAGTCTTTTCAAGCCTTAGGGCCGCAGAGGGGTCCCAATAGCAGGATCCAGTGTTTACCCGCAGCAGCACTTTGAACACGGGCCACAAGTAGACGTGATCATGGTGCTCCGACCTTAAGCAGCAGGATTCTGATAATAGGCCCTGGGCCCTCCCTAACAGGATCTTTCATCTAAACCCTTCGTGGTGGAATTCGTGTTATCAAAACCCCTACGGAACCCACCCAGGTCGAGAAGAGCGAGGAGCGAATCGCCAACGTGGTCAGCGCGATCGAGAATGCCACGCTCGTGAAGCCATTCGACTGGAACCGCGCAGACGTCATGGACCACATGGAGTTCGGCGAATTCTTCGAGAGGCATCGCCTCGCACAGCTGGATGACCTAGTGAAGAAGTACGACTCCATTGGGCCTTTCCTGGTGAAGATCGAGGAGACAACCGCTGGCACCAAGACTGGTATGGCACCTTCCATGGCTGAGTACTACCACTACTGGGAGCGGCGGATCTTCAATGCCATCACCACGATGCTCTTAAGAGGCATGAGCACCTTCCAAACCTTGTTCAGCGCTGGAGAGAGGAAGAGGCCCCCTCTCTTGCGTGTGAAAGCCGACTGCAGTGGAGCGGAGATTGACGACAATGCTCTCCAGTCGGTCTTCCGACTCATCAGCAAGCTGCTGAAGAATACGATTCAGTCAGCCAAGTCCTTCGTGCGGTGGATGGATGGCACGTGCCGCATGGTGCCTCCTCAGCCGGGGCAGGAGGACGAGCAGCAGCAGATGTTCACGTTCTACCGCGATGTGAAGGACAACCCCGCGCTCTTCGAAATGACAATCAACATCCAGAACAGCATCCAGAAGATCTTCTCGATTATCGACAAGTTCCTCCGGCACTGGAAGCGCTACGAAGACAGGTGGAAGCTCTGGGACCCCAAGTGGAAGCAAGACCTTGAGAAAGTCAAGGAGAAGCGTCCACCTTTCGTCTTCTTCGATGCCCACATCTGCGTGTATAAGAGCTTGGCTGATAGCCTGGCCGCCTATCCACCGGAGAAGGACATCGGCTTCGTGCGCATCGACTGCACAGCCATTGTGGCGGCCATCCGGACTCAGGCGATGGATTGGGTGGCCGGCTATGGCGATATCTTGCGCCAGCTGGCCTTCAAGGATCTCACGAGAATCCAGGCGGAGATCACGGAGTTCCGAGAGCAGCTACAGGAGACCCCCGACTCCCTGGACAAGCTGAAGTTCATCCTCAGCGTGATTTCGCAGATCTTGGCAGTGTCCATGGACATGGAGCTACGCATGCAGGACGTCCGGGAACGCTATCGCACCCTCGAGCTCTACAACTGCCAGTACGAGATGCAGGAGTACGAGGATGCGAAGGCGCTTTCCGAGATGTGGCGCTTGCTGAAGGACGAGGCCCTGACCAAGGATCGTCGAATGGTCCGGGTTTCTGGGCTCTTGTTTAGAAGCTTCTTGCTTGCTGCCATAAGGGTCTGTAGTAACTACACTGAATAGTTTGGCTTCCGTGTTATCGCAGCTTAACCTCAGTTCCAGCTCAGGTGAAGGAGCACTTCTCGGAAGTCACGCAGGAGCAGGTCAAGGACTTCTCTGCTGAGTGCAAGGAGCTGTGGCTGGGATCTTTTTGGAGGATGTTCATTAAAGTTGCCAGAATGCTTAAGGGTGCTGTACTAGGGATCTATGATAAACGACAGGGTTTCCTTGTTGTGGTAACCCCTAAATCCTAAACCCTAAA